GAACGACTTAATATCTATTTCGTCGAGAAAATTTTGACATTCTCATTCGACATGGTTTGGTCTGGCCCTTACCATGTGAAAATTCTTATGCTAGATAAGGGAACTTTTCCTTAATCAGCCGTAAGATGAAATTCTTCCAATCGTTAACGTAAAACCCTTAGGTTGTCTCTCGTTTCAAAACTTCAGAAGTACCCAAGCGAAGAGTACCACACCATTCTAGCCTACTCAGTAGACAGGAAACTTCAAACGAAAAGCACCGAAGTAGTCTTAGAAGTCAGTAACTACCGAAGTACCTCAATAGACCTTGTAGGAAAATCATTATACTGCATGTCAAATTCAAGAATAGAGACTAAGAACTCATTAGGTTAATCTATCGCTGCTAAGTGTATACACGAGAGTGGTATATAAGTTAGACTTAACAAGATTAAGGATGTATGATTCCGCCCTATCTCCCGTTCCTTGTTTGGTTGTGGACCTGGGGCAGAGTCACCCATCCGAACGTTTTGTGAAATCTAAATTATGTACGACTTATATACACGAGGTAATGGTGGATGAGCCAAGTATGAGTCTGATCATGAAATTTGGAGCAAAATCCAGCATCATGTATTCTACCAAGTAGAATTCAACATGAGACCACGACAGTGGGTCGAGCTACTAAATGACTACGAATTTGAAATTCGTTATCATCTCGACAAAGCCAATATAGTAGCTGACACCCTAAGTCGGAAAGAATACCCAGGTCATAGTGACAATCATGGACTATGATAACCCTTTCAAATCTTTCCACACAAAGTAAGGAGGCTCAACAAGAAGCCTTGAAACCTGAAAGTATGGAAAGTAGAGAAGATAACTAGAACGTGTGAGTGCACGGTATGCCAATATCTGTTATCTCCACTGAGATAATAGAATCATCTCCCAGTTCAGGCCGTCACTGAAAAATATCTAGGAACCAGAGTAGTCATGATTCTATGGGATCGGCTATGGTAAAGAATGGGATACCCGTTTACCAATTAGTCGAGACCTTTATCACGCTAGCATTCAAGTTGCTTCATTCGAAACTATCTGTGGTCATAAGTGTAGATCCTATCTGTGCTGGACTAAATTAAGGTAATATGCAACTAGCTAGAGATCCAATTTCCACACAGCACCTTCGCTGATCTGGAATTCATCCGAGAAACTACCAAATACAAAATACGAATCAGGAAGCGACATAAAGCTTCCAGAGTTAACCAGAGAAGCTACGGCTTCGATAAAAGAAAACCCTTGGAATTCCAGGATTGATGACGTTGTCATATGAAGGTCTCACTCAGGAAGGACAAGATGCGCTTGAGAAAGCGTGAAATACAAAACTCAAAGTACATAGGACCATTTGAGGTTATTACCAGAATCGGTCTTGTACTTTTAAACTTAAAACAACCACAAAAACTTAATAACATTCATCCCATCTTTCAGATATCTAATCTAAAGAGGTGTCTATCCGATAAAAAACTTGTTATTTCACTCAATGAAGTCAAGTTAAATAAAAGTTTACACTCTGTAGAAGAACCAATAAAAACCATGGATAGGGAAATCTAAAGAACTATGCTAAGTCTCATCCCGTTAGTGAAGGTTCGCTGGATTACAAACCAGGGACCTGAATTGAGTTGGTAAAGGAAAGATTAGACATAGTCCATGAGTATCACTTTAGACTTAATTTTGGGACGAAATTCCCTCTAACGGGGGGATAATGTGACACCAGTCAAAGTTTGGTCAAAAATAAATTGATCAATAATCGTAATTGGGATGAACCAAATGGTAGAGTTTGTAACAAGGTTTCCAAAAATATAAAGAACACTGAAATCCGAGTTATAACGAAGAAGTTATGACCAATCGAAAATCCGCAATAAAACCGACAAAACATTGTTCAGTGTAAAAAACGAATTTTCGATAAAAGGCTTTTTAGCCTTAACAATCTAAATGAAAGTTGTAGAATATGTTAAACCGAGAACGTTCATAAAAAGAACGTAAAAATCTGACTTCATATGAGAAAGTTATGATTTTTCGAAGTTTCGGTTTAGCAGTAGACAGCTAAAAATTCGAAATATAAATCGATCGATATTTAGCCGACGCAACTTAAACGAGAATCGAAGGTCTCGTCAAAAGTAGCACAACGGTAAAAAGACAGACGAAAACGGACGTCAGATGAAGAAGTTATTAATTTTTAACGGATTTCCTGTCCCGGTCTGTTAAAAATAATAATATTAAAAATAAATTCAAAATCAGCCGACGAAGTCTAAACGAAAGTCGTAGAGTATGATTTTACCTACGCGTGCATATAAAGAACGTCAAAAACGGAGCTTGTATGCGAAAGTTATGATTTTCGCAAGTTTTTGGCACAAAAATCAAGAAAATGTGGAAAACCGGGAAATTTCGTTGAGTCACCTCGGACACGTCATCCCTCGCATGCGAGGCCTCCACGTGGCACCTCCTGATAGGACCGAGCTTCGCGTGTCGTCTTCTGATTAGACCAAGTCCGCGGTCCAGTCGCATTCGGACAGCCTCGCAGGAGACACCCCGCGGATGCTCCTCGGACACCCCTTCGCATGCGTCTACTCTTCTTATTGGACCGAAGGCTGGTCCTATTTGAAGCTGCCAGCCGCGAGCCTTCCATCTGAACCGAAGCCACCTGTCTGAACCGAACCACCATTTCACCCCAAATTTCCCCAAATTTGACATTTTAACCCCGTAAACTTTCTCACGACCCCCAAGGCCCCGGTATCGTGTCTAAAGCCCGAAGCAAGCCCCGGAGCCCCAAAATTCTCGAGAAGTTATCCTCTCACCTGTCGAAACTCTGCCCGATTTAAGCCAGTTTTTCGTCAAACAAACTATTTTCCGGGAAACGAAACCCTGCCCGAATCACCGCCTATCAAAGTGAGTTCATACCTCCGTAATTTCATAATTTCTACTGTTTTAATGGGGGAATACAAGCATAACACAATAACTTTGTGTTATAAAATCATGATTTCAAATCATGATAAAACGACATTAAATCATTAAAAATACTCAAAACATTAAACTCTTTTATCATCTTATATTTTTCCCCAAAATTCATGTTTGTATATATATATATATATATATATATATATATATATATATACATATATATATATATATATATATATATATATATATATACATAACTAAGATTTAAAAGGCTTAGGACTGATAACTCATTCCGGGTCCTTTTACTTGTTTGGATGTGGGCTTATAGTACCGGTTATTTGTCCGAATGTAGTTTAAATTTTACTTATATATAAAATTGTATATGTATATAAATATAATAGTTATTTCATCAGTTTAACTACCTTTGTAACATGCTGAGCAAGGGATTTCATGCAAACATGGTTAAATACACATTCAGAAAGTACATATAAATTATAATAGGTATAATTTATACATAGAACAATAATTCATGATTCAAGTATCGTAGAATACACAGTATTACAAGAAACAAGGGTTTTGATACAGAACAAATCAAGGGTTTACACTTATCAAATACATGTTAGAAATTCTAATTCAAGAACATACTGTCAGTCATTTATTTCAAAATGATTGGGTTTTGATTCAAGAACATACTGTCAATCATTTATTTCAGAATGATTGGGTTTTCATAACTAATATACATGTAACATTTATATGCTTTTTATGAGACATTCAATTCAGGTTGTTTAATTCATTTTAGACAAGATAGGAAAAGTCCTGACATTATAACTAGAATCTCCAGCCAGGGGATCGAAACAAGTGTGTGTAGATCTATATCGGGATTTACAACCCCGCACTCAGGCTGCTAGCTACAGTCAGGTTTATAAGCCGATGAGTGGCAATTGTTATCACCAGTTTAAACGCCCACAAAGCATTTGTTTCAGGCCATCCATCATAGTATGGTTATAATAACTCATTAAAAAGATATTAACAATACGTTAGTGTATAAAACAACTAAACGAAAGTACACCTTCAAAGTACCAGTTTAAGGAATACAAAATACAATGGTTCAATACAGTTTTCAATAACAGTTGGTGGAGCCAGGCACACTCTCAGTTACAAGTTTTCATAAAGGAATACAAATACAAAACATTAATACAAAGAGAACGGTTTATGGGATTAAACCACTTTTACAAATGGGAACCTAGTCATTTACTTTCAGTAAACTAGTATAACATAAAAAACCTTTGGTGGTTAATTCTATAATTCTTTAGTTGCTACATCATAGTTATACATAAGTAATATCTGATTGACAGTGAAATGTGTGACTTCCGCCTTACTTCATGTTCCTTGTTTGGTTGTGGACGTTGGGCAGATACACCCATTTAACTGTCCATTCGATATTAGTTTATGTATAATCAGTATAAACTAAGTAATTACAGAGGGAAACTATGGAGGTTATCAGTTAATCACCTCAGGAAATATAGGATTTCCTGGAGAAACCAGTGAACTTATCCAAAGAACATAGGGTATACTTAACGGAACTAAAATACATATGAACTCACCAGCTTAAATGCTGATCTACTCTTTCCAAATAACTTGTATTCTCAGGAATCCAGTAGACAGGTACACTCCCGAAGTTTTTGAGAAGACTACCTAGTACCGTACCGCGACTCTTGTCTTCTACTGTACCTACTTTAGTGTTTGAATATGTAATGTTAAACACTTATGTAAAACTTATACTTATTAATGCAATGGTTGTTTGTACTTTGATTACTATATTGCATGTGTTGTGATACTTTCCTAAAGTCCTCCGCCCCCGAATGTTTCCGCCATTCTGGTTTGGGGGTGCGACACATAAATCATCCTAAGCCAATCTAAACCCTGTTATTATGTTCTCTCTTTGTCACTCTAACTTGTTCTATGGTTTGAAAACAGTAGGAAGTTCGACGGCGGTGAAGAGAAATACCAAGCTCTGCCTTGATGTGTTGATCTTTCTTAGTTCCAGACCTAATAAAAAAGAATAAAACCAAACTTCATCAAACACACAAACCGGAAACATGTTGATAGATTGTGAGAGATAAAGAGTTGTCGGAGATGAAGACAGATGTAAACACTAAAACTGAAAGCCAATATGTAGTCGACGGGTTAGATCCGATGGTTGTTAGTGGAAGCCTGGCGATTTTGCCAACACTGGTTTGTTGGGTTTCTTCAGATCTAGGTATTCCTAGAGAGAGAAACACAAAAAGAGGTGCAGGAAGATAAATATACCGACGACTTAATAGTGGTGGCGGTGAATCGCGACCATTGGAGATTATTGGGTTTTTCAGATCTAAGGTTTTGACAACATCCATGGTGGAGGGGTAGAGAAGAAGATGTGCTACTGGGATGATGTCGTTAAAACAGACATGGGTGGATCGTCATGACAAAATTGTGTAGGTAGTGGGGAGGAGTGGAGTGGTCGGTGGTGGCAGCTTGAAAGAGACACAGAGAGAAAGAATGGAGTGTGATATTGTCATGTTCAGTTGTATAAATGCTTTGATATATGAGTGTGTTTGTGCTTTCAATGTGAGTGTATATTGTGTCTATGACATAAACGATGCATCGTTGGATTGTTATACATAATCAATGGTATGCAGACAAAAGGAAAAAACAATGGCAATCCGTGTGATATAATGTTCATCCATTTATCTTCTGCCACGTCAGAATATGAATACGAAGACTCTTTTTTATCTGGTGTAAGTTGTGATGTCGGGAGTGTAATGCATTTAAGTATTGTAAATCATGCATTGTAATTTGTCTTTAAGACAATTTTTTAAGAGATGCTTTATTTTATTGTACTTCATGCATAATAAATTGTGTTTAAGAGTTTTGATATGCATGGTTTATATATATATATATATATATATATATATATATATATATATATATATATATATATATATATATGTATATATATATATATATATATATATATATATATATATATAAATATACATACATATATATATACATACATATATATATATATATATACATATATTAATACATGAATATATACTAGTAATTTGGTGAAATGTTAATATAAATGTATTACATTATGGATTATGATATATATGTTATTTTTCTCTTTTTCATTTCAACAATCAAATGTCCACTGTTACCTAGCTATAAAAGGTTATAATATTTGAATAATGTGTTTTGACACAAATACCCTTAGTATTCACATATTTGGAATGATTTCAAGGGCAATTTGGTCTTTTTGCACTCTAAATCGTTAAGGCGCCATCATACCTCTGACGTCACGCCGACATTTCAGTTCGTCAACCATTCAGAACATCTCAAGTTTTCCGGACGATAAATCTGCATACAAAAACTAAAACCTCCAAATCATCGAAGGATAATCGTTCTTAAAAACGATTTTCTCCGATAATAGAGACTCCTGTACTCCTCGCGACCAGATCATCATAAAGTAAGTTTTTTTCCATACCCTGTTACACTGTCTTTCATAGTTACGCTTAATTTAAAAAAAAATTGACATCAACTACTCCAATGTGTATTTTGTAAGTAGAATGTCGAATACTAGAAATCGCCGTTCGTTAGATGATCTCCCACTAGAGATTTTGAGTAAGATATTTGTAGTATTAGGGGCAGAATCTGCGAAAGACATCATCTCCGCAAGACTTTGGTAATTCTCAATAAACATCAACTAATGAATGTATATTTGATGAAATACAACTTTATTTATTTGTTATACACTGTGTATTTAAAATTTTGAAGTTCAAAGAAGATGTATGAAGCGGGGGGTGATCCTAAAGTGTACAGAACAGCATGGATTGACATGTTTGAAGGAATGGGTCCCAAAAATTTGAAAGCTGATTTATTTATATGCACATGTGCATTGCATAATAACATTAAAGCCATGTTCAGACAAGGAATTGTATGTGTAGTTTCAGTAATCATATGTAATCTATACCATTTATTAATATTTAGTGTCATTGATGTTATATATTGATATTGTTATTCTGTCAATAGGATGAATGCTTTTATTATGGCAATTTTGATTAGGATTGACTTTGTTGAGACAAGCAGCAGATGAAGATCATCTTGAGGCAATTTATTCGCTTGGAATGATCTACATTTGAAGAGGGCCTCATCAATGTGATGAAGGTATGTATATATGGTATATATGTAAATTAAATTATATATATAGTCAATTAAGGCATGTTTGTAGTTTGGGGTTAGTATTTAGTTGTGTTGTGTTGTATAATATTTAATGTTGTATTGAAAAGGATACATTGGATTAATTGATGGATATTTTAATGTGTAGGTTTACAATTACTTGATGCCTCTTTTGGCTGGGCAGTTCCGGATGATAGGGAGTACACAGATGTTGATGATAGTGCTAAAGAGTTGTTGCTGGCTGTTGATGTTGTTCATAGACTTACAACGAATAACATCACATTCTAATGTGAAGACCCACGTCATTCTGTTAAAGTTGCATTTGCAATAGGCCATGAAGAGGATGAGGATTGCCAAAGATATTGCATGGTTTGTCGTTGGTATGTAGAGTATGGTAGGTTTTGTATATTTCTTAAAAATATAAATGGTTGATAATAGATTGGACATTGAATATTAGTGTTCATATTGTATTGTATATGAAGTTGTATAGAACTATTGTTTTATTTTCGTTTTATGTTTACATCATTCTGTTAAAAGGGCATTTAAGTGATTTTTGCTTGCTATGTTGTTGAGTAGGATGAAGTATACGTAAAGCCCATGTTATTTTTGTGATGAAGTATAGTTAATGGAATTAAAAATAAGTTTGTAATGAATTCGTTATTAAAGAAAATAATCTACATAGATTATATACTTTAACATGCCCGGTTTTAAGGGTGTGCAAGAGGTGCAACCGCACAGGCCCCGGAAAAAATAGGGCCCGAGTTCCAATAAAATTATATGGTTAATTAGTCATTATATACTATGTTTTTCAAGAAATTATACACAACTTGATTAGCACAACTGGTTTAACCGTGCCCTTTTCTAACATAAGCTTATGTTCGAGTCCGCTTGCCAAAAATATCTACTTTTATAATTCATTTTTACATTTTTAGCCATTAGTTTATGCCACATATTACCAATTCAAAAACATTTGATTCAAACCATATCTTACAAATTCCATTGATCATAATAATAATTCATCCATAGAATAAGAAATTAATTATGCATACATCATCCCAATAAATGTCGTCACAAATTAGCTACGTGTTTTGTTCCGTAGCAAAACAAGCAAACAAAATCATATTGCATAGCAGGATTCCCTAGAAAAATACCTACGAATGATACTTACATAGCAAATCAACTATGGAGTTGCTTTCCGTCACCAACTCCGTTACATTGTAACCACGATAATTAATTCCATAGCAGCAGACGGAAAGTGATTTCGTAACAAATGTCATTGGAAAATTGCTATGAATTTGTGTTCCATAGAAATATCGATGGCATAATACCAACGGATATGGAGTCGGTAGCATTTTCCCTAGAAAGTCTCATTCTCACTACCAGAAATAAAATCCGTAGACAATGTGGTAGACATAGTACGATCCATTGCAGATTAACAACGAAAATACGTTCCATAGCGACCTTCCCTAGAAAAATCGTGTTTTTCTTATAGTGTATGCTCAATTGCACTTCAAGATGTTTCAAAAGACTTTATGTTTATTTAAGGGAAATGAAGAAGGGCTTCAAATCTTGTTTAAAAGATTTCTTGGGATTAGATGGGGCTCATATGAAAGGCGTGTATCCAATCCAAATCTTAAGTGCAGCTGGATTAGATTCCATCAATGGCGTATACCCACTTGCATATGCCATTGTAGAGACTGAAAACTATCAAAGTTGGAAGTGGTTCCTTGAATGTCTTGGAGATGACTTGGATCTAAATGTTATGTCCAACTTCGCTTTTATTAGTGACAGACAAAAGGTAAGGGTTATTTATTTTTTATTTTTAATCTTTATTTGTTAACCTAGTTAAATACTAACTATATGTAATTTGTTGTCAGGGTTTGCTACAAGCAGTAAATAAAATGTTCTCATATGCTGATCATAGGTTCTGCCTGATACATATACATGAGAACATGAAGAAAAAATGGAGAAGTAAGAAATATAAAGATCGCTTTTGGGACTGTGCCACAACTAGAACAGTGCCCAAGTTTAACGATTACATGCACTAATTGAGTTTATATGAGAACTCATCATATATGTGACAACCCGAAATTTCTAACTTGTGTAAACATTCAAATTTATCAGTGTTAGATTCATGTTCCTCCCAGTTATCACTGTTTGGAACCTGTTTTGAGTATTCTAACTCTAGTGAATCAAATGAATTAGTATTTGGAAGTGTCAGTTTAAATCCTAATCTACCTTGCAACCGTAAATCTTCTCAAAAAGGAGTTTACGGTCGAGACCTTGAGTTTACGGTCAGGGTAACCGTAAACTCATGTAGACCGTAAGCTCGTTTATGGTCAGGTGGACCCCTCTTGGAACGAGAACTCTACCCTATATATAGGGTATTTAGCCTTCATTTCACCACTTTAAACACTCCAAAGACTTTCCCTCTCTACACTCTCTCTACCTTCATCGAGTTTGCTCAAGAAATCCTCAAGAACATGGAGGTGCTTTGGGACCGGAAACACCTTCTTTGCCTTCAAATCGTAAGTAGTATCCTCTTATACTTATATCTAGTTAGGATTCTTGAGTTTTGCCTTGAAATCGTCACTTTTCCATGAACAAAAGGTGTTTACGGTCTGGTGTATCTTCTTAGACCATATACACTTCAATGACCGTAAACTCATGGACCGTACACCCTTCAAAGACCGTATATTCATGGGCCGTAAACCCATGGAACCGTAAACCCATGGACCGTAAACCTTATGACCGTAAGGTCATTAGACCATGAACTCCATGACCGTAAGGTCATTGGACCGTAAACACTAAAACCGTAAACACTAAGACCGTGAACACTTGGACCGTGAACTCCACTAGTCATACCTCTTTGACCGTAAACTCTATAGGGTGGCCATATACCCTAGTTATGCAATCATATGTGATTGTATCCCATAAATCTTAGAGTTTCCTAGCCAATAAGGGTGTTACCCTTCTTATTTAGTCGTCTATACACTAAATTCATACACATACATGTGTATATGTGTCTATTAGGATCATTGTGTGCTCAAGGTTACACCTGACACTCTGCACTCCTCTTCCAACCACACGTCAGAACCACTCACTACAGATGAGTTCATACCCCTACACTTTTACTGGTTTTAAAATGTTTTCGGGGGAGAATACAAGCCAA